ATGGGGGTGCTCCAACAGCAGCACCTCGCCCAAGGATGCTTCGTGTAGGGAGATCGGCTTCGGGCTTGCTCCATGGCTTGAGGATGAAGAAGATGCTTGGGATGGCCTTCTCATCCAACTCTGGCGAGGTAAGCGCATGGTGGAGCATGTCGCTGTTGACGGTCTCTACCGCCAAAATAAACCGTTAATTTTACCTGCTCAAATCCTAAAAATCAAACAATCACCACAGGACTAGAAGCTTTAAAGTAACAAATTGCACAAGTCTTGATGAATATTTGCATGCAGGTGAATTTAGCCATTGTACGAGCCAAAATGGTCCATAATATGTGAAGTAATTTTGATGATCCGTGATGGACTCAACCCAAAAGGACCTCAAGACCATCATACAAGACTTACCGCCAAAGATCAGGGCGAGAGGCTGACAGGGGGGTCAACCAACCTGTAAAAGGCCCCCTGATCTCCTCCGGAAGGCCATCCTCAATCCATGAGAGATCATCGAGATCAATATTAAGTCACTCCACGAGGAATAGGTATCGAACTCTCCAATGTAGTAGATTATTATCTTAAGAGTTAGGGTCGAGTGGACTCATGTCTAGATTCTGGATCTAGTCTCGGAGGCTTGGTAAGCCATTGTATCTTTACTTTCATATCTTATGAGACTTCAATACTTACATGCTATATTATTATTTACTTGATTATGCTTACATTGGTTATACACTTAGAAGTAATCGAAGTTATCTTTATGCTTATGCATAGGATCATAGAGCGCTTAGCTTAGTGGTCGACCGCGCTAACTAGCAGACTATGTGTAAGCGTGGTGCTTATACATAGTAGTACCTGTGGATGCACCCTGTAAGTCAGAACGTGTGGTAGACCAAGTAGAGTGACAACTACGAGGTTCTCCATAATCCACCTCCCGTTTGTAGGACTAGTAGGACCCAGTTGCGAGAGGAGAGATATGTTTAGCCATGCTCTTCATAGCGATGTCCTTTATGCATGAATATGGAGTTAATCTTTTTTTGAATAATAGGTTTCCCCAGCTTTATTACCATAAAGCAATATCAAGTTGCAGTTCATAGTACTTTAGGCGCACAAACGCAGGGCCATATGGCCAAAAGGGAAAAGAGCATGCCAAGAACGGCAGCCAAACCACATCTAAGCCCTATTACATTGTAAGACTGACGCATTTCCTGAGCCCTCCAAAAGCTGAACAGTTGATTGAACCGACCCTGATGTATCCAAACTCCATTTGATCCACGGTGCTGAGCTTGCTTCAGACTTTCACCAGTTGATTCACCTGCTCCATCTTCCTCCTGGACCTTCGGTTTGAACATCGGCAACCAGCTTCTTAGCATCCTTCCCACTATAGCAAACACCTTCTTCATCCCACTCCACGGCACTCCCTGAAAACATAATTCATTGCGTAATTTCCAAAGCACCCAGATAACCGCCAAAGAGACAATATTACACACCATGAACTTTTTATTTGCTATCCACAAGGAAGCAACAGATTCAAAGTCAGTACCAACAGTTCTAGTAAGCCAAAATGAGACAGATTCCCAAACATTCTTAGCCACACAACAGTGAAAGAACAAATGAGAAATTGACTCTTTTTCATCACAAAGCAGGCAAGTAGGATCAGTAACTTCCCTCCTTTTAGCTAGATTATCCCTGGTTAGCACTCTATTATTAGATAGCAACCAAAGGAAGAACTGTACCCTTGGAGGAATGTTCAAGTTCCAAACAGCTTGAACAAAAACTGGAACCACACCCCTATGGTTAATGATTCCATATAGAGACTGCACAGAATATTTTCCAGAAGAGCTATAACTCCAGAAGATTTGATCCTCCTCATCTGTTAAAACAATGCTTTCCACAGCAGCTCTTAACTCTTCCCACATACTCATAAGTCTCTCAGACACATTTCTCCTAAAGGAGAGCTGGAGCTCCTCACCATCCCAAACATCCCTAATCGACTTTCTTGCTGTTCATTAATAATATAAAGAGGCCAGAAAAGGATAGCCAAGCTAGTATTGACAAGCCATTGATCCTCCCAAAATCTCACTTTTTCACCATTTCCAACTACCCATTTAATGCCCATATGGGCAGCATGCATAGCCCAAATAACCCCTTTCCAAAAAGGGAATACACCCACATCAGGGCAACAAAAAATATTAGGTTTCTTAGTTCTATACTTGAAATCGACAATTCTTGTCCAGATGGAGTTTGAATTTAAGTGATATCTAAAAATCCAAGAACTTAAGAGAGCCATGTTCAAACTCCTTAAATCAGGGATACCCAAACCCCCCATCTCCTTTTTCTGAGAAACAAGTTGCCAATTGGCCAAATGATATTTGTGTCTATCCTCATTGTTGTTCCAAAGAAAGTGCCCCATATGGGTGTTTATCATGTCAATAGCCCACCTGGGGAACTTGATTACAGAAAGTAAATATATAGGAATGCTGGCTAGACAAGACTTAAGTAGGGTCAGTCTTCCTGCATAAGATAGGAGCCTGGCCTTCCAACCAGCTATCCTCTTAACAATTTTATCAATCACAGGCTGTAAATCCTCTCTTCTCAACTTAGAAAAATGTAAGGGAACTCCTAAGTATTTAATAGGGAAATCACTCTTTTTGCAACACAATTTTTTAGCAAACTCATTGGCCCTCTCATCATCTACTCCTAAAACCAAAAGATCACTCTTATCATAGTTGATTTTCATACCAGACAATTGCTCAAAACAAACTAACAGCCACTTTAAATTGGCTGCTTTATCCAGATTATTTTCAAGGAGAAGTAAGGTATCATCAGCATACTGGAGGCTAATGATGCCCCTAGGTTCAGATTGTGGCAACAAACCAGAAATCAGATTTACTCTAGCTGCCCTCATGAGCATCCTAGTAAAAACATCAGCTACCAAGTTAAAAAGAAGGAGAGAAAGGGGATCCCCTTGTCTAAGCCCCTTCCCTGGTTTAAAGAAGGTACTATTCTCATCATTCATTCTAATACAAATGGAACCTCCCTGTACCACCTTTGATATCCAACCTCTCCACTTAGCTCCAAAACCCCTAGACTTTAACCTTTCTTCCAGAAAATTCCAACTAACCCAGTCATACGCCTTCTCATAATCAAGTTTCAGAATAATTCCTGACTCCTTCCTATGGACCTCATGGATTATCTCATGAGCCGCCACCACACTTTCTAAAATATACCGGCCTTTAATAAAGGCTGTTTGGTTAGATGCAATCAATCTATTTGCCACTTTAATCAATCTATTATTCAGTAATTTACCAAAAATCTTAAAACTGCAATTGAGAAGACTAATAGGCCTATATTTTTTAAGGGTCCTGGCATCAGGCTCCTTAGGTAAAAGTGTAATCATAGCAAAGTTCAACATATCTTTCTCAAAACAATTGACTAATTCCATTAAATCACTCTTAAGAATATCCTAGAAAATCTGATAGAAAAGAAAAGAGAAACCATCAGGTCCCGGGCCCCTTTAGCATAAGGGCCAAAGACAGCCTCCTTCACCTCAGCCTCAGAGAAAGGAGCCTCCAACATATCATTCTCCTCCTCAGACACCTTCTCACTTTCTTCCCAAAAATCTTCTCCTAAACTGATCCGCCTGGGCTCCGGTTGCCACGCCCATCTCCCACCTTCCGCCATCGGACGCTTGAGGATCTCGGCGAAGGACTCCTTTTCTCCCCCCTTGCCCCAGAAATCTCTCGCGAAACTGAGCTTGACCGGCGGTTTGGTGATCCTGTTCGAGCGACCAACCGGGAAGCAGTCTTCCAGAGAGATATGCCTTGACTCCACCAGATCCCGCCGGATCTAGAAGAGCCGCCCATCGGAGTTGGAGGTGGGGATTTGGGTGGAATCGGAGGGCCGAACCCTAAGGTTCCGTGGCGGCGGCGAGTCAATCGCCCAAAGCTGACTGAAAAACTCCTCGATCACCTCCTCACACCGAATATTCTCCAGAAACTTCGCCCCCTCCACGTCTCCACGCGTTGCTACAACAAATAAGTACATATATGCTTGTAGCAAGAATATATTAGACTGTAGCCATTACGGCACCCAAACCCATTTTCATCGTCTAAGAGGAAAAAAAAACGACGTTCAACGGCGTAGGCAAATGAATGATGTATTTTTCATCAGCAGCGAGTTAAGACCCAAATATAGGTCATATGTCTGTCTCTCTCTCTCGTCGACCGCAAGTCCGCAACCGTTTTGCGGGAGGGGAAAGAAGAGGAACGCGCACGCGCAGGCGATTGGGCCGTCGGCGTCTCGGCCTCGGTGGCATCACCGAGCTAGGCTTCGAAGGTACGACTCCAACCCCACCGTAGGCAGGAGGACGACGTGAGGCCGCTGCCGCTTCTTTCACTATTCTTTGCTCACACAATGTTGCCGTTGCCGCTTGCGCTGCCACCGCTTTCGCCGCGTTGCGTTGCCGCTCGAATCGCCTCCGTTTCCCTACCTCTGCTCCAATCCTCGGCTGCTGCCGCTCGCTCGCGGCATTCCTCCTTCTTGCCGGGGCTGCCGATCGCATCTGCATCATTGCACTGCTGCTGCCGCTTGTTGCCGCCGATCAAGACTCTCCGCTGGCTTTGTCGCTCATTGCACCTCCATGCGCTCTCGCCACGCCGCCATACCTTGCGCTTGTGCTTGCAGCCTCCTGGGTAGCTTTGCTTTGTAGGTGATGGATTGATTTAGTGATTCATTGGTTTGGGGATTTGGGGATGGATGGGGAACCAGCTGACCCTGCTACTTGTGTCCTTGCCGGCTCTGCTGATTTGAGGATTTGGGGATGGATTGGAAACCTACTTGTGATTTAGTAGCAGATTATCCCCCCTGTGAAACAGAGAACTATGTTTACATAAAATCAGTACCAGATCCCTTTCTCCTATGATGCAAAGAATCATGTACCATGCATGTATGCCTATGTGTTAAGTTCTATGCATATTTTGTGCCATGTTTAATTGTATCTTTGTTGCAGTAGGAGGATGGATAACATTTTTAGTGGCTCAAGTGGGCACCCTGGCAAATATGAAGAAATGTTTGGGGCAGATCAATGGGTTTTTGGTTATTCTGCTGCTTTGCAATCTCTAGATGTTCATCCAGACCCCCAGGTTTATTGCAGCCATGAATCTGATGGTTTGTTCTATTTATATATCAATGAATCGATGATTAACAGTTCTTCTTATGACTAGTTCAACATGCATGGCTCCTCCCAGATGTCTGGCCCACCTATGAATGGGCAACCTAGTCAGGGGTTCTCCAATGACAACAACCATGTGTCTTTGGATGCTCCAACATTGAAAGCACAGAGGCCCCAAAAAAAGGGAAAAGTGGCTAGGAGAGGAACTGCATTCACCAACGAGAGGACATTGTGGTGTGTTCGGCATTTCTGAATATTAGCAAAGACCCTATTACTGGTAATAGTTTACAACGTTTTTTAAGAAATCTTTGTCCCGTTGATGCCCAAATAACATGGTGTCGTGCAGGTGTGAATCAGACTTTGGGTGGTTATTACAAGAGGATGCATGATTATTTCAATGAGCATAAGCCTGAAGGGTGCATCCGTAGCCAGATTGTAATTCAACATAGGTGGGCATTGATCCAAAGAGCGATGAACAGGTTCTGTGGGATCAAAGAATCTATTGATAGGCTAAATGAGAGCGGAAAAAATGAGCAGGATCAGGTATACTTTCACTGATGTTGTCCTCCATCTCTCTAATTTGTATATGTTTATTTTCTAACCGGTGTAATCTATATTCATATGCACAGATGATGATGCTGTAAAAATATACGAGAGGACAGAACCTTTTACCATCATGCATTGCTAGAAAAAACTTCACAAGGAGGCCAAATAGAACAATAAGTTTCTTGAGCTAAACAACTCTACATCACCTGATGTAATGCCATCTCCTGCAACTCAAGGCCATGCAGAATCTGGGAATGACAATATAGACACATCATGGCCTGAGGGCAGGGATAGTGCGAAGAGGCGTAGATCAAAGAGCTTCGCAGAGACCTCATCATCCAGTACGGCTGTTGAAGTCCTGCAGCGGTTGTAGGAGAAATCAGAGAAGACCGAACAGAAGCAAGACCAGCAAATGGCTGAAATCCTTAGCAGGAAGGATGAAAAAATTAAGATTCAAAGGGATCTTTTCAACCTTTAGAAGAAGCATATGAAGATGAGTATGCAACAGCAAAAGAAGGAAAATAAGATTAGGGAGAAGGAATCGGAGGCTCAACTGATCACAACTGAGGCTAGTATTATGTCGGTTGACATTGAGAAGGTCCCCGCTTATCTGAAAAACTATTATCTTGGCATACAGCGGAAAATCATGGAGAGCAGAGGGTTCATCGACCCCTCGAACAATGAAGACTAAGGAACGTGTGTGTTGAATATATGTTCAAAAAAGTTCACTTGAGTTGAACTTTTGTATCATGTGAATCTATTCCTGTTATTGTCGTGAACCTTTGTACTGTGTGTGCAACTTTCGTTCAGTTGACTAGAACACCATGTATTGTTGTGAACACCTGTTATATTGAATCGTGAACTTATGTATTGTGTGCAACTATTCCTATAATCTGGCAATGTACTTTGTTCAGCCTTGTGAACTTCATGTGTGCAACTATTTATGGCTTATGGTAATGTACTGTGTTCAGTCTATCAGTTTCACTTTGCAGCTGAAGGACTATTTGTGGCTTCTCTTTGCAATATGCTTGGTTGTGATTGGATTTGGAATCACTGTCAGGCTGGGAGGTGGTGCTGCAATATTTTCTTGGCTGGGAGGTGGCTGGCTGGGAGTTGGTGCTGCAATAGTGCAGATATTGCTTGAAAAGCCACTGGATAATGAAACTCTGTCTGTTTGTCATACAAAGAGTAAGAATTATGCAAGTGATTAAATACATACGGTAAAAATAGGGGGAAAATGGGTAGCTTAGAAATGTAATATATTTATTATAATTAGACAACAAAATACAAAAGCTCTTGTAATTAGGATCATCAGGCAACTAGTATATATAGTTCCTACAACTTCAGACTTTAGAAACACGTGAGCTGCCAACAAAATACATCAGGCAACTGAGCCTACACTTATAGACTCTATGATCAGTCTACCAACAAAATACATCAGGAAACTGAACCTACAACTACAAACTTATGTTCATGTGATTAGGAGCAAAAGGACCAGAGCATTGGCCGTATAGCTTCCACAAGTGTTCCATCAGGTCGTGCTGAAGCAATGCTATCGTCTCTCTGTCCTGAATAATGTTTTGTGCATCAATAAGTTTCTCAACTCCTCGGATTTCTCTATCCTGGTTAATAGGTGGGTCAGCCACTCTAGGCCATTCTGATGGGTGCACAATCGGCAGCTGAACCCCACGCTCATCTTCAACGACCATGTTGTGAAGTATGACACAAGCACGCATGATGGAATTAAGTACTTTTGGATTCCATAAACGAGCTTGCCTATGCAAGATTTTCCACTTAGCCTGTAGGACACCAAAAGCTCTCTCCACATCCTTTCTACATGACTCTTGTTGCTCTGAAAAAACCTTTTGCTTGTTGCTAACTGGCATTGGTATGCTTTTCACTAGTGTAGCCCAATCAGGATAGATGCCATCTGCTAGATAGTATCTAAGGGAATAGATGTTGTCATTGACATGAAACTCAACAGAGGGTGCCCTCCCGTTAGCTAAATCATCAAAAACATTCGAACAATGCAAAACATTAATGTCATTGTGAGACTTCGGTAAACCAAAGTAAGCATGCCAAATCCTAAGATCCTCTGTTGCCACTGCCTCAAGTATTAGAGTTGGCTTGCCTTTATGCCCTCTGTACATGCCTTGCCAACCAGTTGGGCAGCTAGACCATTCCCAGTGCACGCAATCGATGCTGCCTATCATTCCCGGGAAACCTCTGGCCAAATTGACACTTAATATGTGCTCTATCTCCTCACTTCTAGGAGGACGAAGAAATTCTTTGCCAAACAACTTGACCACAGTCATCACAAATTCATTCAGGGTCTTGAGGGCAGTACTCTCTCCCATTTTCAAATGATCATCCAACTCATCAGTTGGGCCACCATATGCTAGCATCTTCAGAGCCACCGTGCACTTGTGAAGAGCAGAGAATCCTAACTGCCCAGCAGCATCCCTCCTCTGTTGGAAAAACCTATTTTTGGCTATGACCTCATGCACTATCCGAAGGAACAATTTCCGTCTCATGTGAAACCTACAGCCAAAAATTACAATTTTTTATCAAATTAAAACAAAGTGTCATGGACATAGAAACTGGACAGAAGATTGTACCTCCTTCTGAAATGCTCCTCATTGTAAAGTGGACGTTCAATGAAGTAGTCATGATTCAGCTACCAGTTTGCTGCAAGTCGATCACGCTTGTATGTCTTGTGGCCTGGGACCGAACCTCCCCAAGGGCGTTTTTTGTGGCATCTGGGTGAGGACGGCCACCGTGGCTATGATCTCATCGTCGTTGGAGTATGCTGCGGCTGTCCCGAACATTGACATTTTTACGTAACTCCAAGCCATGGCCAATACTAGCGCAGTCGAGGTCTAAAGCCAAGCCGATTTAAGAACAAATTAGCCACAAATCATGGGATTCAGAGGGATTGGAAAGGATTCAGAGGGATTTCATCCTCTATAAAAATCAAAATTTCTCTAATCCCCTTTAATCCTCTCCAATCCACTTGGATTTGGGCCAAAACGCACAAGCCCTAAAGGATCGAACAAGCAAATAGCCAGAAAATCAGATTACCTGCACTCTCCGATGGACTCTTGTGCGCCAACGTCGGCCTTGTGCAGACGGTTCATCGAGTGAGCCTGCGCCGGCTTCACCGCTGCCGCCTCGAGTCCCTTCACGTAGCTGGGGCGGCAAATAATCCCGCCATCGAGGAACCCGTAGTTTCGCACCCAGCCCGCACGCTTCGTTTCCCACGAAAACTTTCACGGCGCGCTCGCGAATGAAACCGGCCGTGCTCGGTCGTCTGTCTTTGGGTCACCTGTTGGAACATGCAACGTTTGGGTGGCTGACCTATTTTTCCTGCAAGACCCAAAACAACAAATGCATATCCTATTTGGGTAACGACGGTTGGAGTCAGTCTTACCTCACCCAAGTGATCACATCTGTTTAATCATTAATGATCTATTCCTTGAGTGTCATTATATTTAATTCCTATATTTATATTTTCCCATGCTCTAGCCATGCTGGTACGTTGATTGATAGATATTCATTTATTATTCAATAAATATTTATTCTATTGTTTCTCTATGGTAAAATATAAATAACAATATCTAAAATACTTCTGGTGATATGCTACAATGGTATTATGTGCGCTTGTGAAATCCTTAATATTATATTTGCACTTACAACCTTAGCAGCCATGTTCCGAGAACGTGGTACGGGAATGTGGAACGTGCTACGACACTCTCAGGAACTGTGGAACGAAGGGGTATACAGCTTCGACTTGTTCCTTTAACTAATGGAATGCGTACAAATTGTGTAAGGAACACGTCAAGGACGTGGTGGTTTGCCCGTGCAGGATAAAGTTGTTATAGTATGTGCTGAGTTCGAGTCCTTTGTGCGTCATAATTTTTCCCTATCATTTGTTTTTTTGTTTTATATTGGGCCATCAATTACTAAACCCTAAGGCCCAAGCCCACGCACCCATCGCCATCTTCTACTGCTACCACCCAGCAGTTGGCCGCCGCCGCCGCACCGCACAATTGATGAGAGCACAGCACGTCTGCACCACATGAGCTGACGGGAGCACGGCCGCAGTGCCGCTGCCGCGCAACCGTCGGCGACCGGCCACTTCGGGACGATGTACAACGGCGTACGGCGGGTAGCCAGGAGCTTCTGGCCGACCTGATCGATGGATGCGATCAGATCGTCATTGTCGATCTGCTTCCTCCGATAGCGGGGGAGCAGGGGTCGAGTTGTTGGTGAAGACGACCTCGGAGGCGGTTCTTAGATCGGATCTGCTGTTGCAGGTGTTGGTGTGATCGGCATAGAATCGATCTGCACCGGCTCGATGATCTCTCCATCTCCGTCAGCATTGATGACCCAGGAGATCTATACGACCGTGAAGATCTGGCCGGGCTTTGGAGAGGACGAAGAGCCTACAAAATGTACCATCTTGTTCGTCATGTAAACAACACGCACACCCCTACCTAGCGCGTCAACTATCAACAGAATATCGTCGGCAGTCCTCCGAGGGGTATCCCACGAAGGTTGATTGATCGGTAGTGGTGCGCGTAATCAAGAACAAGAAGGCAACAGAGACACAAGAGTTAGACAGGTTTTGGCCATCCGCACGATGTAATACCATACTCCTGTGGTCTGTTGGTTTATATTGACTATCGTATGATATTGCGTGTGTTTTGAGGGGGTCCCCTAGCCACCTTATATAGCTGGGGGGTAGGGTTACAAGTCGGTTAGATCTAGGAGATAACCGATAAGTAATAACAGATTACATGAATCATGGGATCGAACATATCCTAACAGATCTCGTAGCATCTTCAGGATATCGTCCTTGATGTCTTGCGGTACACGCTAAGCAGCACCGTGCACCGTAGGTCTTCGTCTCGTGGGCTGGACCACCCCTAGCAGCGTAGCCCATGTAGTCTATCGTGGGTATCCGGGGTCTTACCCCCCAAGCTCTGAGCAGCCGGCGAGAGTAGCCCATGACCGCGAGTGATGCGACCTAAGATATGTCTTCTTCCCCGCCGACTCGCCATGGATGAGGGTCATGTTCCATCCTCATTTGGGACTCGGCGTTCCTATGTTTGCTTGCGGTTGTGAGTCACATTCCATCTTCCTTCGGGATGACGTCCTGCCATGTCCCCATTCTACGAATTAGAATGAAGTTCCTGGAATAGGAATGTGGGGCATGTTCCCATCCCCCGGCTGCTAAGCTCATAACCATCAACAAGCATTTATGGCGTCGTTGCTGGGAAAACAATTGGCGTAAAGATTTAGATCATTAACATACCGCTAGCTTTAGTAGGATTACCTATGTTCCATTGAATTGTGGAATAGACAGGACAACAGAAGCCGTTTTGACCTTTCGGCAAGCTTCCACAAGAAAAGGAAAAAAGATGAAACATTGAAGAACCCAGGGTGCCTGAACTTCATGATCCATCAACATTGGAACCCTACTAGGTCTGTGTAGTCATATATATATATATTATTCTAACCATGTGTAGATTGGAGAAAAGATCGGCGTCACAAAAATTCAAATCACATCTCAAGTGACGAATACATACGCTGCACTACTCATAAATTTCATCTTGTGAGTCATGGTAAGTATGATCAAGAAAGGTGAGATAGTCTTGCTCATAGACTTTAAACTTGATGAGTAGTTAT